TCAACTGCAGGTAACTGGGCCATCAACTACAGGTAACTGGGCCATCAACTACAGGTAACTGGGCCATCAACTACAGGTAACTGGGCCATCAACTGCAGGTAACTGGGCCATCAACTGCAGGTAACTGGGCCATCAACTGCAGGTAACTGGACCATCAACTGCGGGTAACTGGGCCATCAACTGCAGGTAACTGGGCCATCAGCTGCAGGTAACTGGGCCATCAGCTGCAGGTAACTGGGCCATCAGCTGCAGGTAACTGGGCCATCAACTGCAGGTAACTGGGCCATCAACTACAGGTAACTGAGCCATCAACTACAGGTAACTGGGCCATCAACTACAGGTAACTGGGCCATCAACTGCAGGTAACTGGGCCTACAGCCTAAGACTAACCAAAAAATAATTTGCGAGGGATGCATACAAAATGATACACAGGCATCAACCTAAGAAAATGTTAACAGAGAAATGTTATTATTGTATTGGCGTAGGCAGCTATGGTGACTTGATGGAGGCGTCTCCCTACCCTCACGTTCCCCTCGTTCCTTCACATGCCCTCACCTCCCCCCGTGCCCTTACATGCCCTCACTTGCCCTCAGGACGGGCGTGCGTCTGAGGGCGGCGTGTCTGGGGCTCGTGTACCGCAAGCTCCTCCGCATCCCCGGCCTCGGCAGCAAGAGCGTGGGCGAGGTGGGCCATGTGGTGGCCATGTGGCTATGTGGTGGCCATGTGGATAGGTGGTGGTCATGTGGCTATGTGGTGGCAATGTTGATATGTGGTGGCCATGTGGATATAACAAAACATAACATAGTGATCTCGGTGCTGAAGTGTAGGCCTGATGTGGCCTGTCGCCGATTCTTTTCCTTTTCGTGCCTTGTTCACAGAAGATCTAAAATCGAGTCATTTGACCGGATCTTTTCATGACTGACGAAAGATTGAAACTAGACAAGCTACTAGACTTCCACCGGGTTCTATATGGTGCTAGGCATTTCAAGTCTGAACATATATTTTTCCATAGCTTTATCTAGTCTGTTCTTGAACGCGTTCATACTTGGAGCGCCAACGATGTCATTGGTGAGGCTGTTCCACATGTCTGTGATTCGAAGCGAGAAGAAATTTTGTCGCGTGAATGAGTTATAACGCAGTTTTTTAGTTTATAGCCGTGGCCCCTGGTGTTGGTTCTTGTTTCAAATTCTAGTTAACCTTTGGGGACCTTGTATAAACCATGGGTATACTTGTATACTTCAATGAGGTCCCCACGCAGACGGTCGATAACTGAGGCTTGGAAGCTTTATAATCTTTAATCTTTCTTCATAGGACTTGCCTTTCAAGCCCGGAATTATCCTTGTTGCACGTCTTTGAACACTCTCTATTAAATTTTTGTCCTTTTCAAATCTCGGTAACCACACGTTTTACAAACTCTAGATTCGGGCGTACGACAGCAACAAAAACTGCTTCATCGCTTCTGCATCTAGGAACTCGTATGAGCGTCTGATTGGTCCAAGAAGTTTGTTGAATGTATTAGCTTGCGTTTCAACATGCTTAGAAAATTTCAGTTCCTTGTCGACATAAATTCAGAGATCTTTTTCCACACTTGACTTTTCAATCATTACTCTCTCGTTGCAACCATGTCTTCTCATACCGTAATCTTGCTGTTCATTGTTCTTCCCGAGGTGAAGTACTTGACACTTGTCAGCATTAAACCGCAGCTGCCACGTATCAGCACAGTTAACTAAGCTGTCAAGATCATCTTGCAATTGCGCTTTATTTGACGCATTCTTCACTGTATTATAAACTTTTGTGTCGTCGGCATACATGGAGCACACGCTGGACACTACTTCTGGCAGATCATTTATAAAAGCAACGAACAAAATAGGCCCCAGGAC